CTGTCCCTGCGCCTCTGGCCAATACCCCAGTTCTGTATGCATAAATAAATAAATCTTTTAAAAAATAAAATAAAAGCAGTAGAACAAAATAGTTTATGTTCTGAGTGCTGAGTTTAGCTCTTTATACCTTTCAATATATCTATCCTCATAAAAACTATAAAGGTAGTATTTTCCCCATTTTGTAGATGAGAAAAATGAAGTTTACAGAGGTTAATCTCTACTGTGAGCCACTAGTCACCACTACTAATTAATAGCTCTTTATCAACACACGGACAACTAGCTCTTACTGTTTACTGTGCCCTGGCAAATAAGCAAGGTTGTAGGGAGGTCACTGTCATTATCTCATGTAATCCTTTAAGGATCAGTGGTGTGGAGAGATTTGTCATTTTTCTGAGGCATGGATTTATCTGGTCAGCATTAACGTTGGTGGGGAAGAAACTGGAACCAGAAAATCCACCCATGATACAACCTTCCAAACAAGAGCTTATCTGAATCGAAAATGCTGGTGAACTCAATGGGCCTGCTTCCATGTTGAAATGGCCCCTTCCAGGTTGTGAACAAGCTCCCTTCCAATTCTAATTTCTCCCTCCCTGTGTGATTAGAGCCCTGGGTTTTAATGAGTTTAGGCACTTTATAATTAGAATTAATGAAAGGTGTCAGTATTGAAGCATTGACCAAACATCTCCCCTCCCCACAGAAGCCTGGGCAGTAGTCAGGTCGCTTCTCTAGGGCCTCCCTTCCCCCCTGCAGTGGTGATGAGGTGCCATTTCTCTAATCTAATGTCTAATTTTCCTTGTTGTCGTTGCTGGTTTATTTTTGACCAAGAAAGTAGTACTTTCTTACTCATGTTCAACAACAACCAATAGATATTTTTTGAAAACCTACCATTTAAAGAACAATGTATTAGTCACTTTGGGAGTCTCGAAGGTGACTAAAGTCAGTTTGGAGACACACCTGAACAAGGGTGGTGAAGTGGAATTCGAAAGAGGAAGCAGGTATGTATTAGTTGATGTCACTAGTTTTGTAGAATGAACACTGGCTTGTTTTCAAGTATATTTATGTATATCTATGTATTTTCAGTATTTTCTATATAAATATGAGCCATTTAAAGATTGCAGAAAAGCTTCTGTGAAATGCCATCCAGTTTCTCTTTGAGTGGAACCAGTTTTGCTGTCTTTTTAAAGGAGTTACCAAAGTAAGATTCTTGTCCCCTGAATATCTGCTGTCTTCTAGTGGGTAGACTTGTTGCTTTATTTATTCTGTTTCTCTCAAAAGTAAAGAGGTAATGATATTGTTGCTGCAAGGAATTCTCTTTCAGAATGTGCCATTCCTTCAGTTAATACTAACTGGCATACGGCTTTATCTGTGCTTCTCAAATAACAAACTTTCAGCTCTTACTTGACTGCCTTGCTTGGAAGGACACACACAGAACCCCTTCATAGATAATACTCACCAAGGGGAGACATCAGAGGTGTCAGGCTTTCTTTTCATACCCCTTCTCACTCTGTTGACAGCATGATGGTTCACATAGACTAAGTCTGCTCACTCATTTCACCTCTAGCACCTTCGCTCATTAGCACCTTTCACTACTGACCTGAGTTTGTGATGTAAATTTCTATTCAGTGACATTTATTTCTTTGGTTTAGTCATTGAAAATCAAATCTGCAAAGCCTAAATGTCTTGCATAGATTTTAATAAGAGCATTCCATTCTTAGTTTCCATTAATGCGAAAGATGACATTTGCATCTTTGTCATTTTCACTTCAAAGTGGTGTAGTATTAGATTCAGAATCACCGAGGATGGTTACTTATCAGTAGACTCTGTCTGGGTGTCACCCAAAACGTCATCTCTGCTAGAACAGGGGCTTGTTTCTACACATGTTGTGTATCTTCCAAATATATAATCATTGGAATCATGCTTGTCCAGGTTACTTGGAACCAGGTGTCACCATGGCCAGAACATTTGGGGTTATCGGGAGTCCTGACCTGTGGTAGCCTCCTACCAACTCCCCTGATTTTAGGGTCCACCCATTGCTTCCTTAACATCTCTCCATAGCACACATACAACCATAGATACCCTTTGAACAAGTTCTGCCTTTGTTTTGCTGTCAGGGTATTCTTCCATTTCCTCAATTGGCTTCATTCATCAGGGAACATGGATGAAGAGGGACAGGGAATGCAGGAATGCAGGTGTACACCCCTCCCCCCCAAACCTCACCACCTGTGACATATACAGAACCAACCCTTTTACATAACCTTCACCAAGCTGCCCTTCACACTGAGAAGTGATCTTTGAGTGATTTAAGTCATCTTGCTCTGCTTGTTGGGCCCTGGAGTTTCAGTGTACCATCTACGGTAAATGTGCATCATTTTGAAATAAGTTTTAGGGTATTCTTATGTTTGATAACTTTACCTTAGAAATGGTGAAACTTTGGACTAGTAAGTTAGTTAGTTATGATTTCTAAGTTCACAAAAGTTCAGGAAGCCTCTGTAGGCATATTCTCTGCTAATTATTAAAGTTAGAACTCTGAAAAAAGTTGGGGAGGAGGAAAATACCAGAGTATTTGATTTGAAATAAATAAAGCCTATACACTTAAAGCACTATGTGTAGTCAGTTGATGTTGCCATGTTTGTGATAGATCTCTTCTCATTTCTCTTAAGGGATTTTATCCAAATGTTATATTATTGTTGGCAAGACTCATATCTTGAATCTGCCATCAGGGCTTTGTCATTTTCCGCTCCGGCTTTTGGACCAAAATAATAGCCAAATAATAGCCAATACTATTTTGCCAGAAATGCAGCATTAACATTAATGCATTTCTTGCACAATAGTCTTTGCTGTCAAGGAAAGTATTTTGCTTAAAATACATATATAAAAGGATGTATAGACATAGATATAGAACATACATTAGTACATATTTATATGTTTTCAAGCTAAGAGAGGGCATGTGATAAAATGTGAAATCCAATGATTTGTATGCTTTGAGAAGAGGTTCAAATCAAGAACATGTGTTTTAAATCACCAAAATGTGGGGGGTGGGGAATTTAAGTATAGTAGGGAATGTAATGAATAGTTAGCCCTTACCCTCAAATTACCCAATATATGGGTCTTAGGTGTAACATGTTATAAACACTGTTTTATGCATATTTACTTAGGAATATATTACACTTGGTCCTCCCTGGTGGCACAGGGGGTTAAAGCACAGCACTAGGAAGCTAAAGCCAATTCAGCATGAGTTCGATCCCCGCCTGCCCCGGAGGTGACCCACATGGCACGGCAGACCTCTCCTGACCCGCCCGCTGCTCCCCTCAGCAGTGTACTTCATTGATCTGCCTGTTCTGCTCCCCACTCTGTCTCGGGGGAATCCTCTCACGGCCCTTGCACCTCTGGCCTGTACCCCAGTTCTGTATGCATAAATAAATAAATCTTTAAATAAAAAAAAAGAATATATCACACTTGAATAAATGAATGAGTGAATTTGGGGAGGAAGTATTTAAAATACCTTCTAGCAGGTTGTCAGGTTATTTCCTTGAATTTTAATCACTGCCCACAGGCAGTGGGCAGGCATTTGTGTTTTCATAAAACAGAAAGTATAAAAATGAGTGTAGAATTTCCTGTTTCAACCAAGAATGGAGGAGAGCTATGAGCCGTCCACTTCCTGAGTGGCTGCATTCCAGGCTGTGCGAATGGGCAGAGCCCAGCCTCCAGTCAGAACAGGCCAGGAGGAAAGCCTTGGATGCTGAGTCTTGTTTACATGGGTTGTGGCTCTGTTTCTCCCCTCCTCCTGTGTGGCGTAGCCCTGGGACAGTCTGGGGGCGGGGGGGGGGGCCCTCAGTAGTGCATGCCTAGCACACTGTGAGAAGCTCCGATCCCAGCCACCTCTGACGGTGCTGCGGGCTAACTCCTAGTTCATCTGTACTCGCAGGTAAGAGCTGGTGCTGGCTGTGTAAGGAGAGCTGATCTGTAGCGAGTCTCTAGTTTTACTTTGAGACATTCATTACATTTTATTTTCTTGTTAGCAGAGCTAACAGGCTTAAAGCTGAAGAGGAGCTGTTGAAAAATGATTCAAGTGTGTGCTCTATTGCTGATTTTAAACTTTCAGTACCTAGCAAGTGAAAAAGACATTTTTGCTGAAAGGAGGGGTCAGATCAAGTTAAATTAAAGCAAGTTTTCAAAGCGACAGTAATACTAGTTCTCTGTGTATAGAAATTGGAACCAGAAGCAGATTATCATTGTGCATTTTCAGAGCATTTAGATCTAAATAAACATGTTCTATTGTGACTCTTTCTACTGGTTAGTTAGTCTTTCAGAGAACACTGTTTTGCTGTGTATCGACTCCTTGGTTTAACTTTGTTTTTCCTTTTTTGTTATGAACCCATTCAGAAATATATGTATTTGACTATGTACATCACATAGCTTTTCTTCCATTATTATCTAAAAGTTTTAAAGCAAGTTTTCATTATTTTTAATTATGACATTGCTGCTCCACCAGCAGTAAAATTGAGGACAAAAAAGGAATTCCTTTCTAAGCTTTACCATTATATTCTGTCCTGTTAGTATTAATTTAGAAGATATTTTGGAAAATTACATTTTGATAATACTGCATTGGATTCAAAAAAACATTGCATCAGATATTACTGCTGTCTGTTGTTAGTTTTTCCATAACATTGAGACCTTTTTACTTCATGTATTTATGTTTAAGCATATGTTGTAAAATGTCAATCCTCAGCGTCAGAAAGGACAGGCTGTGGGTTGTGTGATTCTTTTTCTTGTATGTGACAGTCTTTAACTTGATTAACTTTTAGAAGAAAACAAAGAGACACCTTAGAACAAAACAAAGAGACACCTCTGAAAACTGGAAGCTGCTATGCTCCTGTTTCCTACCCTGTAGTAGGGTTTTCTTGACCTCAGCACTGTTAACATTTTGGGCAGGATAATTCTTTTTTGTAGTGTACGTTGTAGGGTGTTTAGCATCCCTGGTCTCTGACCAGTAGGTGCCAGTAGCTCTTTCATCGTCCATTATGATAACCAAACATGTCACCACACATTGCTAAATATCTCCTGGCTGGGGGTGGGTGTTGGATGGAGCAACACAGAAATGCCCCTCATTGAGAACCACCCCCCTGTAGCACGGGAGATCTAGTTATTTGTGAAATATTGAAATCCAACTTCTGAAATACGTTGGGTGATGGAGAGTTAAGGATGAGGCTGTGCTGGTCTTAGTGGATTTGCAGATGTTGCTGTAGCTGACTGCTCAGTTTCCCCCTCTCCGTCCTGAGAAGCCTTTGCCAACCATGATTCATGGAATGATTTTTTCGAACTGAGTAATTTGTGGCTTTTCAGTCTCTTTTCTTTCTTCCCTTAGCTACATTTGTTTTGGTTTTAGCCAAGTATTTAAAATTGTAAAGACCTTTGAAAATTAAGTAATACATGTAATAAAATATTTTCCAACTAGATGGTTTTAAAAGCCACAGAACCTTTCTATGGTTGTCTTTCTTTGTATCCTTTCTACCTCCTTGTCTGACAAATCCTCTCAACCCTTGGGAAGAGACCTGTTGGGAAAGATGCAGAAACCTCCGAGCACATCTACTGGGATGGCAGCTGGTGTTTAAGAACTTCTTTTCCAGTGCTTCTAAAGCGTACTGTGACATAGAGCTGTCTTCTTTCTTTACAGATCGCAACGAACGAAATAAACCAGAGCATCGTTCTTCAAGGTATGAATTTATAATATTTAACAATTCTGTATATAACTTTTCACTCAAAAAAAGTTTTTTTGGAGGTAGTAAAAGTATCCCTTTTATTATTACTGTGTATTTGAATCATTGGTGGCATTCAAAGGAGCTGCGAAAGGAAATATTATTCATGGTCTGAGCAAAAGTTTTCTATAAAATTGGCTAATTGGAAGACATATTTTGAGAATTCCTAAAAGTGACAGGTAGATCTTTGCCAAAAATCATTTTATCCCTGTTTCCTTCCTATCATGGCTTTTTCCCTTTCACCTTCTTTAATCAGTGATTTTTATAAATGTGTTGCTTTTTTTTCTAACTATAAAACTAAACATGGGCCTGTAGAAGTTTTGCAAATATTTTTGAAAATACAAAGTTTTAGAAAACAAAACTTTGTCTTCTATCTGCTAGACTTGGCTGGCTACTGCCAACCTTGTGTATATATACACATATATACCAGTATCCATACTCATATTCCAGTTGAATTCTTTTAGGTTCATTAGTTTCAAATGACCAGGAAGGTTCTATTATCAGGAAGCTAGAAGGTATTCAATTAATGGGGTAATGTCAGAACAACCTAGAGAAATACTGCAAGAGACTGCCCACTGGGCAAATCTGTGACATTTTGAGTATCGAAAAATTTAATTGATAATGATTACTAACACATTAAATGTTTTAAAGTCTGGGCCCTCCTGGTGCTGCAGTGGATTAAAGCACAGCGCTACAAAGCTAGCCACAGCCATTTCAGTGAGAGTTCTGTCTAGCGGGGGTGGGTGGTGGTGGTGGTGGTGGTGATGGTGATCCACAGGGCGCAGCACACCTCTTCTGTCTCTTCCGCTGCTCCCTTCAGCAGTGTACTTTGTCAGACTGCCTTTTCTGCGCCCCACTCTGTCTCAGTGAATCCTCTCACCGCCCTGTACCTCTGGTCTGTACCAAGCTCTGTATGCATAAATAAATAAACCTTAAAAAAAAAGTTTTCAAGTCCATGTAAAAGAAATTGTAGAATCAGAAAATCATCATTTTGTAATTCTCAGTGTTAATTGTTGATTCAGACAAGGCTCATCGGTGACTCCTAAAATTTGAGTAGAAAATTGTTGGGAGAGCAATCCTTAACACTGTCTTAACACATTTTAGAATTTTTCATTGTAAAGGAGGTAATGAACCTCTACAGTGAAGAAATCTGGTGATCACATTTTTAATCAATATGCAAGAAGAAGTTATGTAAAAAAAGTATGTAAAATGTGATCCTAAAGTCTGATTCACCAAAGTGCTTTATAAAATTCTGAGATATTTACTATATAAGATTTAAAAATTTGTTTGAATTTGTAACTTTGTCTCCCATATACAGCTATTAATAACAGCTAGAACAATGTAAATGGAATGGCATTTTTGGAAACTAATTCAGAGAGAAGTAGGAGCGAGAGATAATAAGCTGGTTGGTGCCTGTGGCAGTCAATGCCATAATGGAAAGTTAGGAACTCTTCTTACCACCCTACCAGCTTTGAATAATGGATCCCAATGACTCATGGAGGTAAACACCCCAGCTACTCCAGCTAAAATATTTTATCTGCTGTGAGGATTTATTCATTGCAGAAAAAAAGGGGGAGGGGGGCAGAGAAATATTGAACCCTAAACCCATTTTTCAAGCATTATCATTTAAATGTTGGTCTGCCTAAAGTCTTACCCACCTGTGATAGTCCCCTTTGATACTTGGTCGTAGCATTCAATAAAAATTTAATAAAAAACAGAAGATGATTTTTTTTTTAACTTGAGAATGTGATTATAAAATTTATAAGGAAGAGCCAGAATAACCAAGGCAGTTTTGAAGATCAGATTGGATAGAGAGACTCATGGGAGCAATTTAGACAGCATTTTGTCAGTAAACAAACAGTTCAATGAACAAAACAGAGCCAAAAAATAAGTGAGTGGAAACATACAGTGCAGTATTATATGCTACAGCAGGACGGCATTACACACCAGTGGGAAAGCGGGGGGAGCCAGTGGTGAGGGTAATTGGCTACCTATATTTTGAAAATCCAGATGGCATGTTTTATTTTATCATGTGAGGCACATATACCCTGGAGAAATTATTTCACATGTGTCAAAGAAACCACGCACAAGAATGTCAAGAGTAGTGCAGCTTGGATTAAGGAAACTAGCTACATGACCACACAGATAAATCTCAGAAACAGTTTTGGATGATGAAATGCAAGCTGTGGAAGGATAGCTATAGCATAGCGCTTATGTAAAGCAGGAGCCAGCCATGGACCCAGCCTCCTACCACCTCGTTTGTAAAGTTTTATAGAAACTCAGCCAGGCCTGTTTAACAGTTTGCATTTGCATTGCAAAGTTGACTAGTTACAACAGAGGACATATGGCTTTCAAAACTGAAAAATATTCAGTCTGATCCCTTATAGAAAAAGTTTTGCAATCCATGTACAAAATGTTTGTAGACTCCCTGTTATCGCAGGTGAAATACAAACAATATTTATTTTTACAAATAACAGCTGTATTTTTAGGACCACATATGTATTAAAAGTATAGAAAGATACATGATGGTAATAATAGGATATAGGATATTGGTTATTAAAGGAATGGGGTAGAGAAGGATTTTTTTTTAAGAATGCTATCTTTTTTTTTTAAGACTTTATTTATTTGTAACTGGGGTACAGGCCAGAGGTGCAGGAGCGGTGAGAGGATTCACCAGAGACAGATTGGGGAGCAGAACAGGCAGGTTGACAAAGTCCACTGCTGAGGGGAGCAGTGGGCTGGTCAGGAGAGGTCTGCCACTCCATATGGGTCACCTCTGGGGCAGGCAGGATAGAACTCATGCTGAAGTGGCTTTAGCTTCTTAGGGCTGTGCTTTAACCCGCTGCACCACCAGGGAGGGCCCTAGAGAAAGTTTTTAAAGGAGATACAGAAGTATTTCTTAAATTAAGTAATGAGCTTTGCAATATTATCTATACTTTCTTTTTATGTTACTTTTTTAAAGCTTCTAAATTTTCATAATTTAATAAAAGGCCTTCAAGAATACTTGGAGGCCCTCCCTGGTGGTGCAGCGGGTTAAAACACAGCACTGGGAAACTGAAGCCACTTCCACATGAGTTCGATTCCCTCCTGCCCCGGAGGTGACCACATGGCGTGGCAGACCTCTCCTGACCTGCCCGCTGCTCCCCTCAGCAGTGTACTTCGTCGATCTGCCTGTTCTGCTCCCTGCTCTGTCTCCGGTGAAGCCTCTCACCTTCCGCATCTCTGGCCTGTACCCCAGTTCTATATGAATAAATAAATAAATCTTTTAAAAAAAAAAAGAATACTTGGAAACTGGGCCCTCCCTGGTGGCACAACTGGTTAGGACGCAGCACTGCAAGCTGGCTGCAGCCGCTTCAGTGCGAGTTGGATCCCCGGCCCTGGAGGTGCCACATGGCGCGGCAGACCTCTCCTGACCTGCCCGCTGCTCCTTTCAGCAGTGACTTCATCGATCTATCTGTTCTGCTCCCCACTCTGTTTCTGGTGAAGCCTCTCACCTCATGCACCGCTGGCTTGTACCCCAGTTCTGTATTGAAACCAATAGTCCTAATAACAATTTTTATAGTACATGAACATAACAATGAGTGAAATTTCCTTTGAATATATCCGAGAGAGAAATGTGAAAAGGAGTGAAGAAATTAAGAATGTTCAGAAAAAAACAGGAGACAGTTTCACAGACCTCTCATCATAGTCCTACCCCTGTAGTTCACCTTACTAGAAGCTCTGTGACTTTTTAATTTTTTGTCTCTTAGGAGACACACAAATAACACATGAAAACAGTTTCAAATAGTACAGAAATATGTGGTATCTGCCTTTATTCCACAAGCGACTGTCGAGCCTGATGAGTCAGTGTTTATCCTGGTCTGCTTTCTCTGTATATAGAGCACATATTCAAATACTGTTGAAAGTAAACAGGGGTACATGTGGGTGTGTTGTGTTTGTGTGTACACAGAAATATTTGCCATGTTGCCTTTTTGGCTGGTGTTTTAGGAGATGTTACCGTGTCAGTGTCCCGAGGAGGGAAAATTTTCCCCCTGCCACTCTGGATTCTTCCTACACTGGTTGAGCTTTCAGATTAATACCAGACAGATTTGTTAGGAGAAAAGAAACCATTTAATCAACATGTGTTTGTGGCCCCGCTGGGGCAAATGAGGGTGTTTGTCCTGAGCTAAGTAGTGGCACACAGGCCTGGGGCTTCAAAGAGAAGGAGGGGAACTCACATGACAAAAAGGTGACTAGTGATGAAGCCAGAACACTGAAGTTGCTTTTGCCCTTCCATATAGGTAGGTTTCTCTGATAGAAGTGTTGCTTCTGGTAAAAAAAAAAAAAAAAGAGCCACCAAAAAAAACCCAACTTTGGATGATGCCCTTGATTTTCATTCATCTTCTAAGTAGCTAAGGGGATGGTAAAAGTTTCCCATGAGTTTGCAGGGCCTTGTTTGACCTCAGTTCAAAATAATCTGCATGTCAAAGTGACATGTCTTGGGAAGCCTGTCCTGCAATATCTTGGTGAAGTCCTTCTGACTGTCTTGGGGAGACCGGTCCTTCTTCAGTTTCTATGATTTTTTTTAAACAGCAACATAGAATTTTCTTGTGTCGATACAGCACTTGGGTTGTTTCTGAATCATAACAGACATGATGCTGCAGTAAATCATTCTTTATGTTCATGTCTTCATATATACAGGTTGGAAGAAAACTTCTTTCTTCCAACTTTCCCTCAAATTTCTATTGAATTATTCTCATTGGCAGTTATTTTAAACTTGAAAATTGTATGTACCCTACATATCTCTTTTCCTCCTAAATCTCAGATAGCTTCATGGTGAGTCGATGCTACCCTAGGTCCCTAGGTTTTGTAGGGCCACTTTTTTTTTTTTTAACATTTATTTATTGATGCATAAGAGCTGGGGTACAGGCCACTTCCTAATTTCTTCCCTTGGATTATACTTTATATTAGTTCTTCAC